GTGTTGGTATTGCTGAAGTCCTCGAGGGAGCCTTCAGTCTGGAAGGGGTCTGGGGTAAACTCTTCCTTGGAAGTTTGCCGGTGGGAATGGGAGGGAGCGCACCCGTCGGCGGGTCGGCTAGAGGCCGTGAGAGCACGGGTAGAGACATGTCTACCAGCAGAGTGGGACGATTGGTAGATATTCAGATAGCTATAGCCAGCTCATGCGGGGTTTATCGACCTGCTGGAGCGTCTCTTCTCGGTGGGTGTTGTACTTTGTGTGATTTTGCTTGTCCGCAACCCGTCGACCGCAAATCCAATCAAGACTGGTATTCCCACAATCTCGCGCGTGTTGCTGGATATCCAAGAAAACAGAAGCCCGTATACTGCACTGTTCTCTGGTTTCTGAGGCGGTGAAACCGAGGGTGTCGCAGCTTTTGAGCGAGGGAAATGGAGGTGGAAAAACCTGTCCGCATGGGACAACGTCCACGGCGTTCAGTGGTTGCTCCGGAGCATGCGACCTCAGTGATGTGCATGTGGCATCGAGAGGGCAGGTCTTGGAGGGTCTTCTGGACGCAATTGGACACAGCGGCCGCAGAGAGGTGGTCAACAAGGAGTGTGATGTTGACCAAATTGACAGAAAAGACGGGCGACGAGGGACAAGGCGCAAGAGGGATGTTTTCTGGGGGGGGTGTGGTTGCTCCTTCAAACCACTAAGAGAGCAAGGAGGGTTTTCCCTTTGACGAGGGCCGTGCCGGCGTCGATGCTAAGGTTTCTGCCCTGGAAAAAGCTGCTTAAGCCTTCGTCGGCCTTCTCAAAAGGGATTATCCGACTAGCATGTAAAGGTCCAAGCGTGTTGGTAAGGTGCATGTCTTAGCTGCGCGTTGATGCCTGCAGGGCACCGCTAAGAGACAGGAACAGGGCACCATGCGCCTACAGCAAGCCCAAGCTGCAGCTAAAAAGGACCCATCTATCGGATGGCCGTCTCCAATAAGCCTGTGAAGGCCTTCCTGGTGGGGGACCACGCCCTCAATTCACTCACCCGGCATGCGACTAAGGCACCGAAGCCTAGCCCAGCCAAACAGCCTGTCAAATTGCACTATCCCCTGCCCGCCCCATCATTGGGCCAACGACTTGGGCCGTTGTCACGAGCCATTCCCATCTCTCCCCGTCCCACCCAGTGAGAACGGTGCTGGTTCGGCTGCGGGAACTTGACCTTTGCAACCACTTTCCTTCAAGGGTCAGCATTCTTATGACTTCTGCTATTTTATTGGTCTCTGGCACGTTTTATCACCTGAATTCATCTGCCACTGTTGTGATCATCACAAGCCGTTCTCAGACCACAAGCTGTTGTGTTCATGCAGAGTTACTTCAAACTGTCAAGTTGTAATACCTGCCACAACCACACCTGACACAGCCGCCAATAGAGCGCCCTGCGCGCCTCTCTGCCCTCGAATTTCTCCTTGCCTTTTCACGGACTTGGCTGCTCTCCTGAACTTCCTGCAGAAGTAACCTCAAGGTTAGCCGAATAGACGCCACGCATAACACGCCTTGGACTCTTGGGAGGGGCAAACAACGGGTTCCGGCACGCCGAATCATGTTTTGGCCACCCCCCGACCAACGGGTTTTTTGCCTGACTCTGAAACTTGCTAAGAAGACAAAAAAGTTCGACACACAAAGCCTCACGAGCTGATAAGAGCTGGGGTGATGACATGCTGTGTGTCCCAAGCTCGGAGGAGCAGAGAAATTTGCACAAACATCACCGCACTAAGGCACCAAAGCCCCCCACCCTTGTTGACGCCAATCTCGACTGTGGCTTTCTCAAATGCTTCCCCGGCCGTTTACCCCTGGATCAATTTGCTTGGCAAAGCTGGCCGTGCTCACCTCCAGTAACCGAGTCGGATTGTTGTTGAGCTTCCACCAAGCGAGAACATCTTCATTTCGGTCCATGAGACAGCTTTGGGCGAGTTGATCCATCAGCAACGTGCAACCAACCTGCTTCGCTCAAAGGGTCAGTGAGAGGATGGTGTCCTGCTCTTTCAGGCAACGGACCTCCTGGTGAGAAAAAGATAGTCTAAGACGCCTTTTCCGTTGCAACCACAACTGCGTTCGCACTATCTCAACTCAAAAGCCACTCCTAACAGCGATCCAGCCATACCACAAGGTGTCTGCAGTTGACAACCCAGCTTTGCATACGGAGTATGTGATGATGATCTGGAGACATGCCGGACTTTGAGGTGGCCCGTTCACGCCCATTCTAGGTCCACTAGCGAGGAAGTACCTCGTAGAAAAGTGGCAATGATCAGCAAATGATCTTCCTAATCCTGTCCAGTGAACCCGCTCTCCTGGAACCGGATTTTCTAGCTGTGTATCAAACATGCTGATCACTTCTTAGCTATTCCCAACCGGGATGAATAAAATCAGCACTGTGCACTGCATGTCCAGTTCTTTCTTGTCATCCGCAAAAAAGTTCACTGGTACATCCAGAGGGATGACTAGTCGTTTGACAGGTAAAATTCAACGTGTATAAGGCGTGGAAGCCGTCGGAGATTTTTCCTTCCTTGGCCCTTGGGATTCAGCTAGTGTGATGGTAGCTGAAATCCTGTCTTGTGCCAGAGTTTTGACCTTTGGGGCGCAAATAAAGCCACCGTGCATGCCCAAATGTTTGACAATGCATGCCTATACTCCGTATATGCAGAGTCAACAAGGACTTCCTCTTCGGATCAGATGGAAATGGAAATCGCGGACTCGGCTAAGACACAACTGAAACTCCCGAGATTTCACACTGCTGGGAGCTGAGGCTGTGAGCATGGTTCAAGCATGGACGACCGGAAGTCCTCGCCTGCTATGCGTGGAGGGGGTGATGCATGGCTTCAAGGGCTCAAACGTCCAATGGATGAGAAGTTGGATTTGCAGGACACCATGCTTGTTCCTGTCGATTGCACCCGCATTTTTAGAGCCCCGGAGGGGAAGCAGCATATGTACCTACGGAGTAGTTCCTCGAGGGCGGCGGTTCTGCCTTCCGTTTAAGTCTAGATCGAAGCTTCAAGCAAGCCCTTACTCGTACCTCGCACCTTCTCCTTCATAAATTTCATAACGTAACTACTGTCTACATCAGATCCGTTACAGAGTGGTGAACTAGCACAGCAATCTCAAACTTCGTTCCTGAGCACAGTCAAAGTCGACATTTGGTGACTGGGTAACTTGTGACTCCATCAAGTACCGAGTACAAGGTGACGAGACCAGTAACGTATGATACAAGCGACAATTATCGTACATACGACGTCCAAATACGGGACCATTCGAAGAGGCTCCAATTGGACTTTTCCATGACCCGCAACATGTCCTCGTCTATCTCGCGTTCTTCTTGTTCTCCTCCACTCTCATCTTATGCAGGGTTTCCGCCCGTCTCCTCTCTCCGCCATAGATCTTTCTCCCTCGCTTATGCTCCCATAGCCCTTCGACCGCCTTGACTGTGACACCACTGCCGTGCGTGCCTGCAATGGGATGTGCCTGCTTGCCCTTGATGATGTATCCGTTTTTCAACGTAAAGCCATGCGGTTTTTTCAGGTCCGCGGTCGTCTGTCCTGGAGCCAGTTGGTACGTGGCGGACCCATTGGGCACATTGACGATCAGCTTCTGCATTCCAGGACTCCTTCCGATCGTGACGGGGCCCGATATAGGATCTCCTGTCACGGGATCCTTTTTCAGACTGGGTACTTCGACGACCCGTAGCTCTGCGACGCCATCCTTTACATGTTGAAAGTCACCTCCAATCCCAAACTCCCCTTTCCGAAACTTCTCTCGCCAACGGAGTAGATACCTCCGTGTTCGCGGGGGATCGATGCCGCGTGTTTTCATCTGATTTGAGGTCAAGGTGAAGAGTTCTTCCCAGGACTCGATTTTGCTGGCGTGCTTGGAGAGTTCACGCCCGATGAGTTTGAGGAAGGTGGGCACATCGGGGACGAACGGTGTGGGAGCAGGGATGTAGCCGCCACCAGGCAAGCCGCGGTGTAATTGTCGTCGACATGGCGCGCAGACGTGAGATTGAGGTATTATGGATTTTGATAGAGATGTAGACGGTCGGAGGAGGGAAGAAGCAAAGAGCGAGATTGCTCCATGAGGTTGTCGCGTGATCATAGTCGAAGGCGTTGTTTCTAAGAGACCCTCATCTGCAGGCAGCTATACTTGTAAGATCAAGACCGAGACGATTCCAGCTTGCAGCGTTCCGTGGTTGCGGTTGAAGATAGACAAGAATTATTATTGGAAGTTTACGGATCGAGATGTGATGGCTGCAGACCGCAGACGAAAAAGTTGCCGCAAGGACACTTTTCCAGAACAGGAAGGGGGGATGCGCTGCCTTGTTCACTCAACTTACTTGGCCAGACCGACGGAGCATACCTTCTCCTAGCGACAGAAGTTGAAAGCGCTCCCTCTCTCCTGTAGGTTGATCTTAGGGAATGCTTTACATGTGCAACCGGACGTAAATGTTCAAACGTGGAAGTTTGCTGTTGCAAAGACACTTGTTCGGAGTCTATTGTCCTGCGTTTGACTGGTTGGGTTCACAACCTGTACAACACCTGCTGCCACGGGCAGAATATTGGGTCTTTCCTGTTCTTCCTGAAATTATAGAGCGCCCTTTCAGCATGCGGTCCTTTGGATGAGAAGCGATAACAGATGTCATGAACATATCCAGTCCCCATCAGGAGTCCTGGATAAGTGTACGGTTACGATTAAAGCGGCAGGCGATGGAAACGCAGTCAACATGCCAAGCTTGCATTTGAGCCTCGTCCAACTTGGGGTTGCGATACTCGATTGTCTTGAAATCCAGCGCAAGCAAGTCTACATGGGTAGCGGGATTGAATACACGAATAGATCTTCTCCTCAGGAATTGCAATTGCACCTTTGACCCCTAGTCTGCGCTCACAACATCAACAACGATCGCAGATATCAAAGCTCCTGGCCTTCCATTGCCACTTCCAAGCTCCCCTTGCTCCCACATCATACTCGCTCGATCCAAAGATGGCACCCTCATCAAACGCTCCGTCGCCTTTGATGCCACGGTCGCCATCGAATATAAATGCAAACATGTCGCCATCAAAAGCAAAATCACTCGCAATGAGGAAATCGATATCCAAACCTCAATCTTCAGCTCCTGGCCCACCTGCTCACCGACCACCTGCAGACTTCGATATGGCCGAGCAGATGAACGAGGATATCAGCGACAAGTATGTCAAAGGTTGGTATCAGATTTGCGTCCCCAGACGTGCCCGAACTTACTGATGAGGTCCATAGGAAAGAAACTGGGCGAGGGAACATACGCCATTGTCTACAAAGGACATTTGAGATCAGATCCAAACACGCTTGTAGCCATCAAAAAGTTCAAAGTCGACCCTTCACAGCAACGCGAGGGACTCAATGTCGACACGATCCGCGAGATCAAATATCTCCAAGAAATCTCACATCCAAGCATCGTTGCCTTGCTAGACGTATTTTCCTCCAAGGACCAAAATATCAACATGGTCATTGAATACTTTCCCAACGGCAACTTGGAAGAGCTGATCCGCGACAAGACGGTGAGCTACGGTGCTGCCGATGTCAAGGCGTGGATGGGAATGCTGTGTCGTGCTATCTACTATTGCCATTCCAACTTCATCTTGCATCGAGATATCAAACCAAACAACTTGCTGATTGCCGCGGATGGGGAAGTGAAGCTGGCAGATTTTGGTCTGGCACGTTCCTTTGGTGATCCACGCTATCAAATGACTTCTGCGGTGATCACGCTTTGGTATCGTCCTCCGGAGTTGCTGTTTGGAGCGAGACAATACAGTGGTGCGGTCGACATGTGGAGCATTGGGATGGTCTTTGCGGAACTTCTCATTCGGAGACCATATGCAGCAGCCGATGTGGCTAATCAAGAAGTGCTGGCGACGGGTGGAGGAACAGTCGCCCAGCTCGACAAAATCTGCGAAGCTGTAGGAACACCAAACGAAGAGAACTGGCCAGGAGTTTCCAAATTGCGGGACTATTTCGACCTTGAAAAGAAAATTCCGGTGCGCGAGAAGCCGTTCTACATGCAAATGTTCCCAACGGCAGGGGCGGTTGGCGTCGATCTCCTCATGGCAATGCTACAACTTGATCCACGGAAGAGAGTGACGGCAAGAGGGGCGTTGGAGCATGAGTGGTGGAGGATCGACCCTAGGCCGACCAGCAAGGAGAACCTTCCCAAGCAAGGCGGCGGCGCTTCGAAAATGGCTGCTGCGGAAGTGGCCGCCCCAGGGTTTGTCGACGAGAACAAGTTCAAGGGCGTGGCGAAGAAGCTTGATTTCGGAGCCGCATAGAAACATTGACACAGGTAAAGCCAGACCAGGTAAATGATCTAGTGTTGCGCTTGTACTTCTGTCAGTACGAGGGCTGGCTGGTGATGCACAACGCTGGAGCCTCGGGGGGTTTCGAAGACTGAGGCATCGGTCAAACACTCGCCTTCCATCTTCCGTCATCCTCACACTCAAAGAGCTCTCACTTGCGGCTCATTTGTCCACTGTCGGCACTTCATCATCACGAAGACGCCACTGACTACATCAAGACTCGGACCAAGGCATCTCTTCTTACAGCTAGCCTCTCACAGTACCTTGCCTTCAGCTTCACCTTACCTCGCAAAAGCCCATCTCACCACCACCCTCAGATCATGACAAACAGAGCGCACATGGAGACCATTGTCATCTTGGAAAAACCTGCCATCCTCGCCCCTGACTTGAGATTTTGCGGTAATGTTGGTGAGTTAGTTTCCGCCATCAAAGACCTCAGACCAGAGAGTTTCAATGACATGGAGATCTTCTCGTACAGTCTTCACGGACCTGACGGTAGTCAGTCGCCACTGAATGGACCGTACTACGACCCTCAACGCCCTTTACCACGTCCTGTTGATTCAGTTCTCCGCATCTCGGCACGACCAACGGAAATGCAGTACGACCTTCTCATCCGTCTCCCTCACCAGGAATTTGCATCTCCTATGCCAGTGTGGGGTTGTGTTAGAGCGCAGTAGAACGATACTGGAAGACGTCTTCAAGAGAGGATTCATGCGAAATATGGTATCCCATTGCACGACTCCATGCTTTCGTTCTGCGGCAGCAGTATCTTTGATACTATGAGCTTGTACGAGCAGAAGATCGTGAAAGGCTCCGCTGTCAGCGTCAAACTCAGCGTTCCGATCAAATACCAGTTCAAGGAGGAGGAACATATGATCTGTGTCTGGTCCGATGATACCATGATAACATTGCTGGAAAAGATTGCCAAAAGAATAGATGAAAGCCTGGAACTCCTGCGCTTTGCGATCATCCGATGCACCGGCATCGTTGTAAACGAAGCAAAGGAGTGGCTGCCGGATCGGTCCAACATTTTCTCGGCAGACTGCACCGCAGGCACGGTGGAAGAGAATGGATTCCGAAGCCGGGATAGTATCAAGGTATACCGCCAGCAAGAGAGCACGACCACGAGGAAGAGGAAGTTGGAGGAGACCTGGTAGCGCATGAGCCACAAAGTTGGAAAGATGTTGATGAATGTCATGTCGGGATATCGCTGCAGGGACTGCCTGGGCTGCATGTCCGAGGCTCTGTTCCTGCAGCATGGAATTGAAAGGTCATTGGAAGGCTACAACTAACTTACTTGGAAGGATTGGGCATGGCAGCACGGAAAAGCTGGTCAATAGCAGCTTGAGTTGGGAAATGAGCTGGGACATACCGTTCCAGGTGTCAGTCCGCTGAGAATATCAGACCAAGAGCTCTGTAAGGCTGCTCTTACGGGAAGGAGCGTTAGGGATACCATATTGTCGAGCTCTACGAGAGAAACGTGTTTCATGAGAGGCAGCAAGCAGTCTTCAGCAAAAATCAAGCAGCAATCGGCTCGCAGACAGAAATTGGGCCTTTCCTGCGTCACAAGGCATGACTCGCTCGTGATTATAAAGGTCTTTTTGTGGATCATTCCTTCCTCGTCCGTTGTGCTTTTCTGTGGTTGTTCTTGGTGTTGTCGATGATCATCTGAGGTGTACAGGTGACCTTGTAACCTCTTGGTCAGCCCCGTCTTCTTGTCTGTGAGTGAATGCAGCTGCTCCGTACTTATCAGTGTCTCCCATTCGATTTGATCAACTGTGACAGAGAGTGCCGTGAGTGACGCGGAGAGAGCGACGCTGGTCGTGGCAACTGTCAACAGCCACTTTGAGGTAATAGCCTCCCTGTCGTGGACGTGAAATCCCTTTCTGGCTTCGTTGATACTGAATCATCTCCTCAATGTCCTCTCTGGGAGAAGCCCAACGGCCTGCCAAAACTCGCGAGCATCCAGCTTCCTACCCAGTGCATCGAGAGGCCTCGGCAGCGCCTTGACGCCCTTGTCCTGCATCAAGTCCATGACCCAACGTCGATGCTTTCTTCTCTCCGCGAGTTTCGTCTGCTGTTCCGCGCCTTCCTTGTCTCTGTGACTGTCTTCGCTCGAGTCCCCGCTGAAATCCCACACGACGCTCCACCAGTCGTAGCAGACGCAGTCGGCCACAATCCATCTCCTGCCAAACAGCTTCTCTGTTGTCGGCGACCGCTCGCCGCTGGCGTTCTTGTCGGTGTCCGCGCGATCTGCCTCGATGACCCCGACCACCGCACCTGCAACGTCCGACCCGTGGATCAGGTGTAACGCGCCTTTCTCGCCGAGCTGGTCCTTGGTCTTTGCCACCCGCGCGATCCAGTTGCCCGGCTGCCTCTGTGCGCCATATAACCCCGCGAGGTTCAGCACGCATCCGCCCAGCGAGGTGAGCTCGTCCTCTGCGATTCCCCGCTCATTGGACGGGTCAATGGGCGAGTGGCTATCGACGAAATTTGGGGACGTCCATATCCCCGTGCTGCCGAGCTGGATCCATTTCGTGTCTGTAATCGTCGTCGTCGTAGTGATGCCGCCTGCCCGCGCGTTCCGTTCATCGTCGCCTTGCCGATCAACTATCGCGGGTGTGTCACTTGTCGTGCGGTCACAGTGTTGCCCATGCGTCGCTGCGTACGTGCTCACCAGCTTCCTCGACGGCCCTTTCCCCTTCAATGGGAAGGTGATCAAGACATAGTCCGCGAGTGGAAGCCGCTTGATGGCGTCCTCCAGGTTGTCCGAATCTTGGTTGAATTTGAAAGGGATCGTGCCTACACGCCCGTCGGTCGTGGTGGCCGCATATGTAAAGTCGGCCTTTTGTTTGAGGAGCGGCTCGAGAAATTGCCACGTCCAGCCGGCACCGAGGACGAGGAGCGTAACTTTTCCTGTGGCAGAGGTGGGTGCAGTCAAGTTGGAGCGGGAGGGAGAAGTCATGATCACATTTGTAGTACATATATGAACCATTAAGAAAGGTCAGGGTGAATGAGCTTGTCAGAAAACTATACAAGTCGGCACCGGCCACTAGATGAATGTCAAAACCCCGCCCCGCATTTCGTTGTCGTCAACGACGGAAGGCATGCCATTCCCTCAAACCTGCTTGTTGTGTCCACCGAAGAGCAAGAAACAATGACCGCGTCACCCCCGCCCAGCTCTTCGATTGCCGTCATTGGCGCCGGCTTGACGGGCCTTTCCATCACTTTGTCCCTTTTGCACCACCAGCTCTCCGACCCTTCCAACATCACCGTCTACGACTTCCGCCGCGCCGACACCCCCGACCCGGCCAACTCATCCGGCGTGGTCCTCACGCCCAACGGTCTGCGCGTGCTCGACTCACTGGGTGTCCTCGCGCAGATCTCGTCGAGATGCTGGCTCTCCGAGTATCGCACGTACAAGAACGAACGTGACGAGACGACCCGAAAGACACTCATCACCAACGAGGCACTCTACGGGTACAAGAACCACCGGTTATGGCGGCGAATCTTGGTGGAAACGATGCTGGGCATGGTGAGGGAGCGAGGCGTCAGGGTGTGTTGGGGGGCGAGGTTCGAAGGTGTAGTGAACGAAGACGAAGGCGGTGTCAGTTTCAAGGTCGGCGGGCGGGTTGAATCAGTTGGAATGTTGATCGGAGCCGATGGGATTCACTCTTCGGTGAGGAAATATGTCAGTCCAGACGATCCCGGTCCCGAGTACACGGGAGTCGCAGGTGTCCTGAGCCATATTCCCTGGAACTCCGTTGAGTGGCCGTACGAGAACTACGAGCGCGCATGCACGATTCAGGGAAAGCCGGGAGCATTGGTCCTGATGCCTGAAGACCGAGAAGGAAGCATGGTCATGGTTGCAATGCAGGTCAGAATGGAAGACCGTAGCCGTGAGGTGTGGGAAGCGCTTGCGCAGGACAAAGAGTTTCTGCGTGATTTCTATCTAAACACTCGAGACAAATGGGAGAGCTCAACAGCAAAGGGGATCATTGACGCTGTCTGTCGATATGTCGACACAACCTTTCTGTGGCCCTTCATGCGAATGGCACCGTTGAAAAAATGGTATTCGGAAAAAGCTGGCAGGGTCCTGATCATGGGCGATGCCGCTCACGCATTGCCCCCAAGCAGTGGCCAGGGTGTGAATCAGGCCTTGGAGGACGTGTACGTTCTGACGCGGTTGCTGCTTTTACTCAAGTCGAGGCCGACACTGGAGCTCAAGAATGTATTGGCGTTCTGGCAATCCCTGCGTCAGGCACGTGTGGATGCAGTCTTTGACTGGGCAACAAACAAGACCAATGTCCAGCGATTACCCATGGCGGACAGAGAGAAGCTCGTGCGCGAGGGGAAGGTGGTAGATGCGAGTAGTGTTGACAACTTTGACGACATGCGGTGGCTCTATCAGCCCGACACTGACAATATTATTGACACATGGATAGTCCATCAGGTATGATAGCCGAGGTGGACAAGCTCTGGGTCAACGACAGGGCTGGTATCGTTTGTTCCTTGACGTTCAAAATGTGAAGAGAAGCCTCGTATCAAATCCGTGGATCAGTTTCATGTTTGCCGCATGTGACAATATTGGCCTCTATGTATTGAGGTCCCACTCCTAAGGTTGAAGGACTGTCGAGCCCTCACAAGGCACCTAAAGGTCATACCCGACAACGGCAATGGGAAGGTCGAAGGGAGGCTCGTGGGCAGCAGAGAGACCGGGCTGGACGGAGTGGGAGTTGATTTTGCAATTGCAGTTGGCGCTTCGCCAAAGCGAGGATTGTTTGTCATGTGGCAAGTCCCCTGCATGACAACAATGAGGTGTGTGGGAAGTGTCCAGAGACCAAGGTAGATGGCTGGAGCAAAGATTCATTCGGTGTGACGGTTAGATGATCTTTGTTCGCAGAGGTGCTCTCCGAATTGATGGCACTCTAATTGTTCCTTCTGGAGACGCGTCGCGTTACGCGTCTGATCTCGCACCATCATTGGCGGATTTGTGGCTTTCTTCGAATGACGCCTGGTTTGTCTTTGATGTTCTCAGCCCACAGAGACTTTTAACAACCCATAGATTTTTCGTTGCAGACAGGATTGTGGGACTTCCCTCCATGGCTTCTGCACAGAAGAAGCAGCAGACGATATCTTCCTTCTTCAAAAGGCCTCCCTCAACTTCCACACCCAAAGATCGTCCGCAAATCGCCACAGAAGTGGATGATGAAGATGATGGGCTGGTACTGCCAATACCCAAGAGACGCCGCATCACACCTGCCGGAGAGGATAACGACAAGACTGGACATGTCGAAGAGGTGGAAGACGAAGAACATGCTATACCGCTGAGACCCGTCGTTGCCAATGGACAAACTCTCGGCACGACTGACTCCCAAGCATCCAACAGGACAGCGAAATACGTTTATTCTTCGTCCCCTCAGCAAGAAAACCAGGATACAGAGGAAGTCAGTGGTGCGGAAAAAAGGCGAAGAGACGAACTACATCGGAAGTTTGTGAAGAAGTTGGGAAAGCCAGACAGCATCGCCGAAATCAAACGGCGGAACCGGCTGCTCGAAGATGACGCTGCGGACCAGGACAATGAAGATGGAGAGGAAGAGCCTGTGGATGAGGCACCTAAGTCGACTTCTCGAACTAAGAAAAGTGGCAATAAGTTGACGCCGATGGAAAAACAAGTTTTAGAGATCAAGAGAGCGCACATGGACACCTTGCTTGTGGTCGAAGTGGGTTACAAGTTCCGTTTCTTTGGCGAAGACGCCAGAATCGCGGCCAAAGAACTCAGCATCGTTTGTATACCGGGGAAATATCGATACGATGAACATCCATCAGAGGCACACCTGGATCGTTTTGCCTCTGCAAGTATCCCGGTTCATCGACTGCATGTGCATGTCAAGAGATTAGTTGCTGCCGGTCACAAAGTTGGTGTGGTCCGACAACTTGAGACTGCAGCATTGAAAGCCGCTGGCGACAACAGAAATGCACCTTTCGTGAGGAAGCTCACGAATCTGTACACAAAGGGCACTTATATCGACGACATCGAAGGTATCGAAGAGGATAGTCGAGGAAGTCCTGCCCCACAGTCTGCGTCGACTGGCTTTCTACTTTGCATGACAGAGGTCAACGTCAAAGGCATTGGTAACGACGAAAAAGTCCACGTCGGCCTGGTAGCAGTCCAACCTGCCACAGGCGATATTGTTTACGATGATTTTGAGGACGGTTTCATGCGGAGCGAAATCGAGACGAGGCTGCTTCACATTGCCCCCTGTGAGTTCCTCATCGTGGGCGAGCTCTCAAAAGCGACTGAGAAGCTTGTTGTCCATCTTTCCGGCAGCAAGACCAATGTTTTCGGCGACAAGATTCGGGTTGAGCGAGTCGCGAAGCAGAAGACAACGGCAGCTCAAGCACACAGCCACATATCGACCTTTTATGCGGAAAGGCTCAAAGACTCCCGATCAGATACAGACAAGGCGGTGAAAATCTTCGATAAAATCATGGGTCTGCCGGAAAACGTGTCCATCTGCCTCTCTGCAATGATTACACACTTATCTGAATATGGTCTCGAACATGTCTTCCAGCTGGCCAAGTATTTCCAGCCGTTTTCCGCTCGATCCCACATGCTGCTCAATGGCAACACCCTGACGAGTCTCGAGATCTACTTGAATCAGACAGACCATTCCACGAAAGGTAGTCTGTACTGGATGATGGATCGGACTCAGACCAAATTCGGCCGCAGGCTGCTACGGAAGTGGGTCGGACGGCCGTTGCTAGATGTACAAAGCATTGAAGATCGACTCAACGCTGTGGAAGAGCTACTGAACCCTGACAAAGTCGCGCAGGCGGACAAATTGAGACGTGTGTTGTCGAAGATTAGAACCGACTTGGAGAAGAGCCTTATTCGGATTTACTACGGCAAGTGTACTCGACCAGAGTTATTAAACGTTCTTCAGTCACTACAGATGTTGGCAACCGAATTCGCGTATGTGACAGACGCAGCATCTACTGGCTTCGCCTCGGATCTGATCTCTTCTGCAATGGTCTCTCTCCCCGTCATCTTGACAGAGGTTGTGGGATATCTGGACAAGATCAATCTTCAAGCTGCCAAGTCAGACGACAAGTACACCTTCTTCCAGGACGCTTCAGAGACAGAGGCCATTTCGGAACACAAATGCGGCATCGCGGGCGTTGAGCATGACCTTGACCAATTCCGATCAACTGCCGCCGAGAAGTTGGGCAAGAAAAAGCCAGTCGACTACGTGGCTGTGGCAGGCATCGATTATCTGATCGAGGTTGAAAACAACTCTCCCACGATCAAGAAAGTGCCAGCATCCTGGGCAAAGATTTCGGGCACCAAGAAGGTGTCTCGGTTTCATCCGCCAGAAATCGTCAAGCTTCTGCGAGAGAGGGACCAGCACAAGGAGTCTCTTGCGGCTGCTTGTGATGAAGCTTTCAGGGATATGCTAGCCGACATCAGCACAAAGTATCAGCTTTTCCGCGACACAATCCAAAGTCTGGCAACCTTGGACTGCCTACTGTCTTCAGCAAATATCGCGTCCCAGCCAGGCTACGTACGTCCCAGCTTTACACCTGACACCCGAATCGAAGTACAAGGCGCCCGCCATCCTATGGTTGAGCAACTCCTCATGGATTCTTATGTGCCCAATGACATCTCCATCTCCCAAGACTCGACACGGGCTCTCCTAGTGACAGGGCCCAATATGGGCGGCAAGTCTTCCTATGTCCGTTCTGTAGCCCTCATTGCCATAATGGCACAAATCGGCTCTTTCGTTCCGGCGACGTCCGCCACACTGGGTATTCTAGACGCGGTCTTCACGCGCATGGGCGCTTTTGACAACATGATGTCCGGTGAATCAACCTTCATGGTCGAACTCAGCGAAACAAGTGACATTCTGAAACTCGCCACGGGCCGCAGTCTGGTAGTGCTGGATGAATTGGGCAGAGGAACGAGCACGCATGACGGTGTCGCAATTGCCGCGTCCGTGCTTGATTACCTCCTAAGAGAGCGGAAGTGTTTGACACTGTTTATCACCCATTATCAGATGCTGGCCCGCATGGCCGATGGGTTTCCGAACGGAGAACTCAAAAACGTCCACATGCGTTTCACCGAGACGAATGACGAAAACATTACCTTTCTCTACGAAGTAGGTGAAGGTGTGGCGCACCGCAGCTACGGTCTGAACGTGGCAAGGCTGGCGAATTTGGGCGAGAGTGTGATTGATGTCGCGCGACAGAAAAGTCGGGAGCTGGAAGAGGCAACGAGACACAGACAATTGGGGGGACTTGCTAGGGCGCTGGTGCAAGGATCAAGGGACAGCGGGCACAAAAGGCAAGTGGAAGGTGGGAGCCTGGATGCGTTGGTGGAGGGCATTGAGACGCTTTGAAGCGAATGATCGGCAGGAATGAACGAGGACACCGTTGTGGTTGAAAGTCGTGCTACAAAGAGTCAATGTGAGGGATGAGTCTGGGTGTGGATCAAGTGTCTGGCCAGCTAGCCAATACTGTACATTCTGATCAGAGCATCATAGACATGCGCTGCTCAATGCAAACCTGTCTTCTTTCATATGACCTTCTGACCACATTGAAGAGGACAAGCAGCTCACGACTCCCCCCTGCTGCCCACAAACTCAATCATCCATTCATCATAACCTCGTAGAGCATCAGCGTAGAGACCCGCGCTGCTCTGTCATTCATGTAAGCATGACCAGTGGACACTACACCTACGCAATGAAGTCTCCCTGTACAATGTTCGCACTCGCGTTGGGCAATCCAATCACGGCGATTCCAGCCGGGATCCTGGTGGATCGGGCGTTGAAGCAGGCAAACACGGCAAGCTTTGCCAGAGAGGGACAACTCCTGAATATGCCGGTCATGACCACATCATCCACCTGGGTGACAAAGGACAGGTCAATGTCTTTCAGAAAAGGATACTGCTTGACACCGTCGAAGACTTCGAGGAGCGCAGAGTGAGAGATGTGACGACAAGCCTTGAGGTTGAGAGTGGCGAGACGCGAACCGGAATGGGCCATGAGCGCCGGGAACGCGAGGGAGCCAAAGCCAATGGGTTCGTCTTGCGGACCTTCAGGGTTCGTATTGTCGATGTCGCGGTTGTCGGACAGGTCGGCGTAGAGCAGAGGATGGAAGGGGCAGTTGCTACCAAAGAGGTCGGCAAAGACACGGTCCGTGCAGATGCTGCTCCCTCGAATACGCAGCTTGCACAGGTTCGAACAGTGCTCCCTGATTGCTTCAATGACATTGTCGTCGAGTTCTTGGAAGTCTTCTAGACAAAGAGTTCGGAGATTGGCACCGAGAGAGGTGATGAGTTTGACCAGGATCTCTGAGGATGTCTCCTGCGCGATGCTGCCAAGCGTGAGGTGTTCGAGACTTCGCAAAGAGCAGAGCGCGTCAATCGACACCTCACTCATGTGAGAACAAGACCGCAACTTGAGTCTCTTGAGTCTCTGACATTTGTCCGTCAGTACCGCCACTGTTTCGTCCCTCAATGAGTCATTGAGTTCCGATAGCTTGAGACTTTCCAGCTGAGGCCCAAGTGAGTTGAAGAGTACAACCCAGGCGCTGTCAGAGACCAGGTTTGTCGCACCGAGCTGGAGATGACGAATCTTCTTACATTTGTCGGCCATATATAGAAGTGGTTCATCTTTCAGCTGACCCGCAAAGCGCAAGTTAACAATCTCGACTTGTGGCATCAGTGCAAAGATTTTCTGGAAATCTTCTTGCTCCAATTTGCCGCAATCATATACAATAATACGGTCGACATCAGGGCGAAGGAAGAGTTCGAGGATGCGAGGAGTCAGGACTCTCCGTTTTGAGAAAATCTGGCTCAGCCGATCCAACAGGTTTTGTGGCATATCACCAAATTCCTCAATATCGTTGACGACATCGGCGACCTTACGAACGCACATGTCGGCCAGGCTTTTGGCACCTGGTTTGACGTCTCCCATCATCCGATCGCTCTCTGTCTGTCGACGTCGACCTCTGGGGACAGCAGTTCTCTTTTTCTTCGCCTGAGCATCTTTCTTTTCCTCCTCCTTCAGTTCCTTGGAGCATTTGGTGCACAACAGACCACCGTCAGGCCCAGTCCTACTGTAAGGTGTGACGGTAAATCTCTTTTCACATATCTCACAGTTGTCAAGTTGGCCGGGTAAGGGTTTTGCTTTGGCCATCATGGCTCTGGCGATTTCATCGTCGTCCATTTCGAAGTCGCTGCCTTCCTCCATTTCACGTTCCATTTTCCGTTTCTTGAACTCCTTGCTCTGTTTGATCTTCATCAGAGCCATCTGTTGTTTTCTCTTGCGCTTCTTGCGCTCGATAGGATCCTCGCTGCCATCATCGGAGGCGTCTTCTTGCTCCACGTCGGCATTTTCTGTACCTTCTTGCGCCTCTCGCTCCGCGTTGGCAAGACGTTGTTGGTAATCCTGTTGGATCTGGTGAGCCGAGATATTGTGGGAGGCAAGAAAGTCTGTGAGGGCAGACTGGGGTCCGCGGATACGATTGAGTGCAGCAGCACGCCGAGTCGCCCTATATTCAGTGTCAGTACAAACGAGGCTGCTAATCCAGGGGCATCGACGAACATTGTGAAAAGTTCTATTGGTGGCAAATCTCAGTTTAAGCAACGCTAGGGAAACAGGTAAGTGGGAGGATATTAGTAGTTGAAGAGAAACCTAAACTAAGTCAAACCAGCAGATTCTGCTTGGAGCTTTCGAGCCTTTGAATAAAAATCCATTCACTGCTCAAGGCAGAAGCATCAGCGAGCAGCAAGTGGTGAGGGGCATTCCCCCTTGGCGCGGTTGGAGGCGCGTTGAATTGAAAACGCGATCCGTGGTCACATGAACCTTTCAGAGGGATCACTGCAGGCAAACCGGGACACATACAGCTTGGCAGGTTAGGGCTCCTGCCGCCGCCGCTTTATCAGACAAAGCCACCTCCCCAAGCTTTGTTGAGATGCTGCTTTTGTCTGGAGAAAACCACTTAACGCGTCCCCACGCGCCGGAATCCAGGCAGAAAACACGCTAAATCTAGATCTTTATCGATTGTGCCTCGATCTCTTTCTGGAGCAATATTCAATCAAGCCTCACCCTTTCCGTTGACTTCTGCCATTGCTCTCCTCCTCAACGTCCACCATGGGGCCTCGTGGTCGTCCTACAAGATCTGCGGCCTCCTCAAGGGCTCCTTGTAAGTATATTCTCAAACAATGCCGTATTGACCACCGACTGACCGATGCCCGCAGCCTCAAGAATCGCCGCTGAAAAGTCGACCCCTTCACGCACCAGAGCACCCTCTAAGCGAACCATCAATCGAAGCCGAGGCAAACCTTCTGCATCTGCAGTCAAGGAGATCCCAGACACTGACGACGACGATATCTCTGTCACTGCCTCTACCTCAAAAGGCGCATTCCAAGGAGTCTACCTCTCCAATAATGACTCTGCTCCTGCAAAACGCCGTGGCCGGTTGTCTGAGTCAACGGCCCCTTCTTCTATCGCCGATCCGATGGACTCGCCTGATTATGAGACCCCAGGAACCAGTACTGTCCCAACCCCTGATCCAGGCACGTCAAAAGCGAAAGTTGGAGCTACAGCCAGGGCTTTGCAACTTGAGTCTTCCGAGTTTTCTCTCCGTGGGAGGACTGCTTCTCGAAAGCGAAACATCAATGAAATAACGGATTTGGATTTCGAGGACACCGATGCACAACTCGCGGCAGAACTGCAGAGAGAGGAGTACAAGGTAGTGGCAGATTCAGAGGGGAGTGATGATGAACCCCTATCCAAACGCCGTCGTACCAGGTCATCCATCATCGACCTGACGGACGATGATGACGACGAAATCCCTCGCGCCAACACTCGTCAGCGTCGAGCCAAACTCCCTCTCCGTAATCAAAATTCTTCCACTGCTGCCGTTGGGGCGTTGAATGACAGTTCCGGGCTTTCCTCGGCGGCCTCGACTCCCGATTCAGAATTGTCCGATTTCACCCTACCACCCGTGTCAGGGGGTTCGGCAGACCTTAGTGAGGTCGATGACGATGATGAAGATGTTCAACCACCGTGGGCTAGAGGCAGTCGTTCGTCACTCGATTGGACAAAGATAACCCAAGACGAGATTATGTTCTGGGCGGATCCCGCGAAGCGACGTCAATTGAGAGAACGCAAACGCTTGGAAAAGGCGCATCCAGAAATCAAGACCATGTGGACGGACCTGGCCAAGATCCCAGTCATCAAGCCCGTGCGAGCGCCACAACCGGCTGGGATCAGTCGTAAATTGAAGCCCTTCCAGCTTGAAGGCTTGGACTGGATGATCAAACAGGAAAAGTCCCAGTGGAGAGGGGGCTTGCTTGGTGATGAGATGGGGATGGGAAAGACCATCCAGGCTGTTAGTCTTATCATGTCCGACTATCCCGCGAAAGCTCCGAGCCTGGTGATTGTCCCTCCTGTGGCCCTAATGCAATGGCAGTCGGAGATCAAAGAATACACCAGTGGAAAGCTGAAGGTGCTGGTTTATCACTCTTCCGCCAACCCAAAATGCAAGCTTCTCACGGTCAAGGACCTGAAAAAGTACGATGTCATCATGGTCTCCTATTCTGGCCTAGAGTCGATGTACCGAAAGGAGCAGAAGGGATGGTCTCGGGGTGATGGAATTGTCAAAGAGGACAGCGTGTTGCACTCGATCAAATATCATCGATTGATCCTCGACGAGGCCCACAGCATCAAACAGCGCACCACCGGCGTGGCAAGAGCCTGCTTTGCTCTCAAAGCTACCTACAAATGGTGCTTGTCTGGCACACCTGTTCAGAATCGTATTGGCGAGTTTTTCTCGCTCCTCCGGTTCCTCGAGATTCACCCATTCGCATGTTATTTCTGCAAGACATGTGATTGTCGTGAACTGCACTGGTCCCAGGATGAATCGAAGAGATGCGTCAAATGCAAGCATAGTGGCTTTAACCACGTCTCTGTGTTCAACCAGGAGATTCTCAATCCGATCACCCAGGCGGACAATCAAAGTCTCAGAAAGGACGCTCTGGACAAGTTGCGTTTGATCACCGACCGCATCATGCTTCGTCGAATGAAGCGAGACCACACATCTTCGATGGAGCTCCCACCCAAAGAGATCGTTATCCACAACGAGTTCTTTGGAGAAATCGAACGCGACTTCTCCCAAAGTATCATGTCTAACTCGACACGCAAATTCGACACGTACGTCTCGCAGGGGGTCATGTTGAACAACTACGCCAACATCTTTGGTCTCATCATGCAAATGAGACAAGTCGCCAACCACCCTGATTTGATCCTGCGCAAGAACGCAGAAGGCGGGCAGAATGTTCTCGTTTGCTGCGTCTGCGACGAGCCTGCGGAGGATGCCATCCGTTCTCGGTGCCATCACGAATTCTGTCGTCAATGTGCCAAGTCATACGTCCAGTCCTTCGCTGGTAGTGCCTACGGAGGCTCTGAGGAAGACGCAGATTGTCCGAGATGCCACATCCCCTTGGTGATAGACTGGGACCAGCCGGAAATCGAGCAGGACGAAGACAACGTCAAGAAGTCATCCATCATCAACCGCATCAAGATGGAAGATTGGACCAGCTCTACAAAGATTGAGATGCTCGTGTATGACCTGTACAAGCTCCGCAGCAAGAAACAGACGCACAAGTCGATTGTGTTTTCGCAGTTCACCAGCATGTTGCAACTCGTTCAGTGGCGTTTGCAGAAGTCGGGGTTCAGCACGGTCTTGTTGGATGGAAGCATGACTCCCGCGCAGAGACAGAAGACCATCGACCACTTCATGAGCAACGTCGATGTGGAGGTCTTCCTCGTCTCACTCAAGGCAGGCGGTGTCGCCCTGAACTTGACCGAGGCCAGCAGAGTTTACATTGTCGATCCGTAAGTCGCAGCTGATTTCCTTTCCCTTGACTTCCTCCACTGACTGAATTTCGTACAGATGGTGGAACCCTGCTGCCGAATGGCAGTCTGCGGATCGGTGCCATCGAATCGGCCAACGTCGACCTTGCGTCATCACGCGGCTGTGTATCGAAGACTCGGTCGAATCACGAATGGTATTGCTTCAGGAGAAGAAGGCCAACATGATCAATGGAACGGTGAACAACGACCAGGTCGCACTTGACAAACTGACGCCGGAGGACATGCAGTTCTTGTTTCGTGGTTCATGAGGACGAGTAGGGTTAAATGTCTTTGGCAGGGAACAAGGACACATGTGATGTTTGATGACTGGCGGTGTTGGTGGCTCCCAACATCACGCAACATACTTGCCTGGGAGCAAGACACTGGCGAGGCACGTCCCGTCCGAAATCAGTTGGCGAGCACACGTCTCAGCTGAAGACGCAACACGATGCGCTGAGTCGAGTTTGCTGACGAAACGTCTTTTTTCTTTCGACATTTGCATTGTTACGAAGCTTTCACACACACACCCAGGCGGGCAGATTCTAGTTAGGGACTTGTTATGCGTTTGCTGTGCTCTAACGAAGAAAGGCACTGCAGACAGGGGCTGGAGGGTCGAGAGCGCTGTTCGCCGTCGCTGTTGCTTGACGAGATCCAAGATACCACAAACACAGAAGAAGTAGAATCCAAAAAGTTGTAACAACGTCTGCCAAGTTCTACAGACACCAGGAGTCACCCTGTAGATCGCAAATGGTTGAGCTTTTGTAGGACGCGAGATAGAATGAGTAGACAGTCTACTTTCGTACTCCTTTCTCCCTATGCCAAGTACAAAGCACTCACTCGTCCATCTTGTATTCCTGGGGAAAGGCCACGCGCTTCAAAAGTCCCGGGATTCCAATCCATAAAGAGAGCAACGATGCCCTCGTGGTCCAAGGAGGACGGGATGAGCAGCGCAAAATCAACGGCAACCGGCTTGAGCAGCCTAGGCCTGTTAAGACCCAAGAAGATAGCCAGCAAATCATGGAGCATTGTCTCAACAAATGGAAAACGTTTCTACGACCTCGATTCGCACATCTATTCAGCAATATCTCGTCTCGGTCGTCTCAATGTAAATCAGTGAGAATGAGAATGCCTCTCCACTCGCCAACGCCCTTGAATCCTGAGGCCCAGCTCGACCGTGAGCTCAGGAAGTCACCCTTCCTCCACTCAGATACACAAGTAAAACACTCTCACAAAAGATCTGGTCTAATAGGTATTGACTCCGTTCATGACTCGCAATCTCGTAAACGTAAACAAAGGCCGGGCCGTTGTCTGGAATATTTTCCATAATCCTGTCATCAACAAAGCTTTGTCTCGTTCCCCCTGGGGTAAAATGCCATCTGTCAACCTAGAAGGCCACCGCTTACTCCTGCGTTGACCCAACCGCATCTCCGTGGGAGCGCATGTACATCCCATCTCCTGCACCAGCGGCAGGAGAATGAACAGCCGAGCCTGCTTGATGGTGCTGCTGCGGCTGTTGAGCGAGCTGTTGCTGGGCCAGCAATTCCCGAGCATAAAACTCAACCAGCATGGTACCGTAAGCTTCGAGCTCCTCCACCGGGACAGAAAGTCTAAAGTCGTTGAGAAGGAGGAATTGAAGCTCCAAGTTGTTCAGTTCCGCCAGAGGAAGTCCTCCCACCTGTGAAGGGAATATTTGTCAGCATTCGATTCAAGGGCAAAGGCATCTAGAGCGACTGTTGAGATGGTGGCTCTTTCGCTGGTGAAACGTACCTTTGCATATCGAGAATTCGTGTAAAATACATCAGAAAAGAATTTACTGGCGCAAGTGACACCAGCAATTACAAGGCGATGGATGTTGTAACTATCAACCACGAAGAATTGCGACAGGTCGGTCGGAATGCTGGATTGAGGTGAGGAGGGATGCTGGATCTGGGATTGGTGGCGTGAGTCCGATGGAGAGGGCGGTGTGCTGATATCGTGGTGCTCTTGAGGACTGTCCACATTCATGAGCACCGGTGAACGCGGAGTGGGCGTAGATGACTCCGGTGCTGTAGCCGGGGAATCGTCAGGTCGCTTGTTGACGTCCCCCAAAAGGCCTCGGTTGACCATCTCAGTCATGCGATCAAAGTATACCAGCAGACTCAGGAACACCTCGTAGGTAGTCGGACAATACTTGTGTATCCGACTAAGATAACTTAGGATCGTTATCCCGGGGACGTTCTTGCCGTGAAATGCTAGCACACAGGAAGCGTGTGGGTTCAGATGACTCTGTTCCTCTGTGAGAGGGATCGGGCGGTGATGTTCATGCTGTCGATCGTTGGTGGTGGTGATCTTGGTAAGAAGGCCTGCGACCATTTCGATAATGTCTGTCACAGGCATGGCACTGATTTCATATTGCCTTCCCGTGTCCGAAAAGGAGCTGGAAGGGCGTCCCGACAGACGGGGTCGATTCAAATATTCTTCACTCGCAAGACTGCGGATATGTGACAAGTCTCTCACTTTTATCCGACTAGGAGAGCTGGCTTCTGACGCGCCTAGTGACCTGGTCGAGCGATATGTGGGTTGCAAGCGCGGGGAGGGAGGAGAATTGGCGACGACGACTCGAGGGTCGCTAGTCAGCGGGAAACCAGACTGGTCAAATCCGCGCGAGTGTTGGTTCACATTTTGAGGGTAGTAGGAGGAGTGTTGATGCTGGGGAGAGGATGAGTGAGCACTGCCTGGCTCATGGTCGTCGTGCTGTGACCCTGGGGTCGACGAATCTTCAGAAGGCTCGTGGATTGTAGGTGTCTGGTCAGAGGAGGCATTGTATCCTCTGGAGGAGTCGTCGTGATGAGGATTGGTGTCCACCATCATGTGGTGATAGGGATGCTGACCGAGTCCCGGCGCCACTTGGCTAATCACCAGCGAGCCCATCTCAACCTTTGGCGTATGATGTCTGCGATAGAGATTGTTAGTCGATGACTAGGTACAAACAACCCAACAAAGTCCCATTGCAGATGGCTTCCGTCTCAGCCTAGCACTGCCCAGCCTGATTCCGCGGTATCTCTTTGTGGGTGCACAGGTCCGCAACAAGGTGATTGTGGTTCGCAAACTTGCAGCAATACGTATTGCAGGGTGGACAAGATGTAACACAATGCTCCAGAGTGTCCGACAGAGGTCAGAGGCAGGCCTTTACGGTGGTGGTGGACGTTCGGCATGCGTTCGATCAGGTTGGCGGTCGGCAGAAGAGCTAGCATGTGCAGTGTGGTTCGCAGTCGTCGCAGCCAACGAGCAAAGCGGTGGGTGGGGGAAAGAGAAAACATGCTGTCACTTACCAAAGACATTGCCGCAAGTCACTACTGGAGTTAAAAGCTGTCAGTGCAGTCAGGCGCGTCTATCCCTCCAGACTTTGACGGCCGACACGATAGATACAAGAGGCAAGATATGGAGATAGACAGAGTGCAGTGAGGAAGCAAACAGATGGGCGAACGAAGAGGGAATCGGGTTGGTTTGGGTTTAGGTTTGGTTGGGTTGAGGCCGCGAGGCGCAGTTTCCCAGTGGTTGAAGCTGCTGGCCTGCACGCAAAGACCCGAAGACGGGCGGAGCATTTGTGACATGTTTGCCATCGTCGCCCTCCCGTCCACCACCACCACCACCACCACCACCACCACCACGGGCTACGAGAACCTAAGCACGCTTGCATCATCCTGCATACACAGAAGAAAGGCGGCTGAATAGTAACTAACGACCATCGCCACTCAGGGACTTTCTTTGATCGCCGAATCGCGGCTGCCCGTCACGCCCATGCCTATGTCCGAGTCCTACAAGTAATGACAATGGCGAAGAAGAGTTGTCTCCTGCAGCCTGATACTCATCGAGCTTGTTTGTCCCCGTTGTGCATATGCACCTCCAAAAAGGATCCTTAGACGCCGTCCCAACCCCGTTTTATTATTCGGCTCAGTCTCTCCCTGGTCCTCGATAGTCCTGGTCTGGAAGATACAAATGTCGCTGAGCACCCTTGGCCGTCAACACCACCATTCGAATGACACCGCCCGAGCTGCCGTCCCATTTGATGGCTTCTCTTAATGCTCCCTTGACAAACTGTATTCCTTCTTCTTCTGTCATAGCTTCTTTCCAGTGTGCGTCGCAGTATCCGTAGATGTAGGTCGACCCTGAGCCTGCGATGGCATATGGTCCTTTGTGCAACGATCCGCCTAGAGGTATTGAGTAGACTTGTCCACCGTTTCGCTTATCGTAGCCTGCAATAATGATGCCAGCACTGCAACCAAGTTAGCCAGAAGTTTCCCTCTGTCGTTATGGTCGTCTCACCTTAGTTGATCCTTGTTCCCGTAGCACAACTCCTGAAATAGAGCAGCAGCAGTCTGCGTGGTCGGGGACTCGTTGTTCATGATGCCATAGATCCCGAGGTGGTATTGAACAATATCGGCAACGGCCTGAGTATCGGCTGCAGACCCTGACCGGCAGCACCAGATGGTGTCGTGTACTTGGGTGAGCTTGTCCGTGACTCGATTGGCGATGTATGCTCCTGTCGTTGTCCGACTGTCTGCTCCAAGAATCACCCCATCTTTGAAATTGATAGCCATAATAGATGTACCAAGGTTGACTTCTCCCGACTTGAGGTGGTTCATGTCGACATGAATGCCATCCTCTCCAAGCATGCCGGTGCCTGGGCCAATCATGACTGCGAATATGTAGAGAAGAGATATATGAGATTTGACTCTGTATGCGTTGGGACCTGAAGCGGTGTTTGTGGTTGTGTTGTGGGAGCAGGATGATTGCGAATGGATGTATGGCGAAGCTGCGCTGGACAGAAGGCAGAACCAGCAAACGCGTCTGGTCCATCAACCGAGCTGCGGGCGGCAATTATTCTGCCCTTGCACCACTGGCAGCCTGGCACCGCGTAAGCGAAGGGTTGGGGATTCCAGGCTTAATTAGACGCCACTTGGCGACGCAGGCGGTTAAGCTCGCCAAAATTACCCCTTGGGCACCAAACACAACAGGGACGGTGCCACAAGGTATCGACCTCTCCAGACATCACACCTGCCTTGATTCAGGTCAAGAACTCCAAGATTCGTCCTGGACACAAATCCACTCTACATCCCTCGTTTTGTACGTATATAGTCGCCTCTCTTTTCAAGAAACTTTTGCTTGTCATTCTTAGTCTCCTGCCAGCCTCTTTGCTGGATGTACTCCGTCCTAAAGTCATATCTTCCCCCGCAGTTGAATCACAGCCTGACCAAGCTGCGCCTTGATGAAACTGTCGCCATGACCTCCTCCTACCTCTCCTGGCTACGCATACCCGTCTTCGCCACCTCTGGCCTCGCCGCTCTCGGAAGCAGTCTCCTCTATTTCAAGCAGAATGACATTATCTACCCCGCAAATCTACCTACCGGTTCAAGGTCGATTGTCGACCGTCCTGAAAAGTACGGCATTGAGGATGCCGAAACCATCAGGATTCCCACGCCGGACGGTGAAACCCTCCATGCCTACCTCCTGCGTCCTTCCGATCCTTCGTTGAGAAAAAACATCACATTGTTGACATTTCACGGGAACGCTGGCAACATCGGCCACCGCCTTCCCATTGGCAAAGTCCTCTCCCAGAATCTGGGCTGTCATGTCTTCATGGTCGAATATCGGGGTTATGGGTTTTCGACTGGCACACCCAGCGAGGAGGGACTGTCCATCGATGGGCAGGCTGCCCTCGACTTTGTGCGCGAGCATGCAGAGCTGAGAAAGACCAACATTGTCCTATACGGCCAAAGTCTGGGTGGCGCCCTTGCCGTCAAGCTGCTGCAGGCAAATTATCAAGTTGGCGACATTTCCGCAGTCATCTTGGAGAATACCTTCTTGTCTATTCGCAAATTGATCCCGTCGATCATGCCAGCAGCGAAATACCTTTCATACCTCTGTCACCAGCGATGGGACTCGGAACAAAGCTTGGCCAAGGTGCAAGATACTGGAATTCCCGTTCTGTTTCTTTCTGGTCTGCGGGATGAAATTGTCCCACCATCCATGATGAAGGCCCTGTTCGATCAATGCCCCACCACAAAAGTCTGGAAAGAATTCCCTGACGGGGACCACAATTCGACCGTTGCCGAGCCAGGCTACTTCGAGGCGATCTGGAATTTCCTAGTCCAGGACGTGCTGAGAAGCCCACGCGAAGAGAAGATGAGGAAAGCGGAGCTCGACGTTGACAGCGATGACTTAAGGAGTGAACCTGTCGGTGCATGAACCTGGCGGCTTCTTCATGATATCCTCTCGGCTTCGTCGATCAACTCTTCCAGATCGAATCCCTGGTCGCCTTTGCTGAATTTCTCCAAAAGCCCTTGGCGCTTTTCACGTCCAACGCCCCCACCGTGACCTTCATAGTCATAGAATTTCTGAAGGCACATCAAAAGCCAACGGCCTTCTTCCACGCTCAACCCGCGCCCTTTGACAACAGATCCGCTTAGCAACACCAGACCGTGCGAGTCGGCGAGATCGAGGTAGTGGGTGATCGTCGTATGCGGCTGAGCATAGGTTCCGTAAAGCTTGAAGGCAGCCAAGTGCGTGAAGATTACGGTGCTCGTATGGGTATTTGCAGTTTTTACACCTGGAGTCGGGGGAACGCCGGCAGGGGGATGGAATCCCCATTGCATGAAATGAATATCCGCAGCAGACCGTTGTTCGTCACCCTGAAATCCGTCGGCTGATTGTTTTACGTCGCCGCTGCCATCTTCAGCTGCCGGGCGAGGTAAGGGAAGGACAAATTGTGGGTGTTTCATTGCGGTGCGGTAGATGCGATTGTATGTTTCCAATGGTATGGCGGCACAGAGCGACAACGGATCGTTTGCATGCCGAACCCGCCAGACGTATTCCACCTCTTTGTTAGAGAGAGAAGACACTTTGTCGAGGTCAAGGTATGAGGAGAGAGGCTTTATTCCCGGGGCGCCAGATGATTGATTGGGGGCGGAAGATTTCTCTTGTGGCTGACTCGCAGAAGATAATGGTTGCTGTGTAGGTGTTGGAGGAGGTGGAGGCTGTGGGAATGGAGATTGTTGTGCTTGCTGGCTCTGGCCTGTGGGTGCAGATGAATATGTGGCATTGGCTGCCCGCTTGTAGTCCTCTATCTTATCCTTGTACGCCTCCGTGAGGGAGAATATGGAATTATGTCCTTCTCTGAATGCCAACACAGCCGTCAGCTTCATTTGCACAAGATAACAGCCACTGCCATCAAGTGCCGTCTATCGACAGCGCCGCAGCTTTGGAACCGCCTGCGTGGCAAACTTACTCCTTCGCCTTCTGCTCCAGCTTATGTCTATAACGGTCTAAAATCTTCTCTTGATCCCGATGTGTCGTTACGAAGCGGACATCGTGGACCCGCGCCCAGCGCCGTTGGGGTCGGAGCAGCGAGCGACCGGTGGGAAGTGCCTGCATGTGCCGTAGAGAGACTCCTCGAGGGAGAGGCATTGTTGTGACAGACAGATAAAGCGGCAAATGCAGGCTCAACGGGACGAAAGGAATTTCTCGGTACAGTTGTAGAGGGGATAAAAGAGTGTGTATGTATGTACATAAAACAAAGCTCCAACTTTGCAATACCGAGTAATAAGATACCCCAAAATGCAAAAAAGGGTCAGCGATCAAAGACTCCGATTGGCTGACGTGGATGAATTATCGATACGGCGGAGCGCCGTGGCGTTTGATGTGCACATTTCATGGCCACGAGTGTCGTTGTCAAACGATCGCAATGGAAACCTTTTGGCAGAGTGCGGCAAGGCTGGGAAGACGGTCATACTACATCCGACATGGATATGCACAGTGTCTTGGATGTCAATTTACTCGATACCAAAACGCCTCCGATTTGATGCCAACATGGTCCACCCAAACCAAACCCCTTCCCTCTAAAGACGCCTCGCTAAAATCCCAGTATCCCGAGTAATCCAATCCCTGTAAATGGCCGGGACCACGTAGCTGGGCCTGATTTATGGTATGTTGCGCAGGATAAAACATTCGAGGACATAACCACGGTCGATAGAAGTCTTTGACGTCACGGCTCTACCACGAACAATTCGAGAGTGAAGGTGACGTTAGTGCACTCCCTTGGTCTCAGGAGCGTCTGTCCGTCCGTGAAGACGGTTTGGCCCGCCCAGAATGATCTTGGACGCAGGCAACTGCCATCGATCTGCGCCGTGAATAGCGTGTGGTGATTTAGCTTCGACAGTTCGTTCCAAGATTCAACCTGACCACAATCTCGAACCTAAGCCAAATGACCGGGATATCCCTGCTTAGATGTTGGTTTTAAAGAATCATCGTCGATATGAATCCGAAGCATCGCGGTAATGCCCAGCTGGCAGGTGTGTGAGTTGGCTGCTTGTAGGTCGCTGGGTCTGTTTCGCCACTTCGGCTGTAGGGGAGAAAAACAATGACGGCACACTCGAGAATGACCGCGGCAATTTACTCAAATCGGCCATATCGTGTGAGGATTGTATCGCCGGGTTCTTTTTTATGTCTGCAAGGGGTGTGTAAGCAGCGCCGCTTGCCTTTCCACTGCTTGCGTCGCGTCTGAAACTGCGATTTATGGACCACGACATGAGAATCCGCCAGCCAATGATGAGGAGGGCCACAAAGCCCAACGCAGCGCCGACGACAATAAAGACAAAGTTTTCAGGCAGTTTAGAACTGGCGAGGTAGGGTGCGCCGGCTTTTGGGGGGACGGTCGGAGGGGGGTAATTGAACCCGCCTGGAAGGGTTGGAAGCGCGGAGTTGGTGACCATGTTGTGTCTTATAGCGTGGGACGTGTGTATAATACTGCCGAAAAGTATTGCAGGACCGTAGAATGATTTGGACTGGTGGCAGAACGGTAACGAGGGGATAAGGTCAGAGATCGAGGTTGAAAGAGTGCAAGGGTGACGATTTGGCGTCGTGCACAAGATGTGAGAGGCCTCAGATTGAAGAGTCGTGGCGCCCAGGGTCACGGTTCGGCGCCCCTAACAAGTCACAGCGTGCCCAGTTGGAGCCCTCTTTTTGTTATTTTGGGGCTTTGGCATGCGCTAGTCGCTGTCAGGTTAGGTGCTCCGGAGACCAATAACGTGAGCGATTGTGGCTGAGAAGCGGGAGATTTTTATCGGATCGCACCCACTAGTCCCGGCCTTAACTTTTCTCGCTTGCTGTTATGCCCGTTGCCTAAGTAGACAATTTTCTCTTGTGCTCAACACCGCGACATTTTCCAGACAGCTGGTTTGTCGCTCGCTCAACATGGGCGTCCATAAGAAGACTCGCAAGTTCCAAGTCAAAAAGATCATTGGCCAACGGGATGCTCGCCTCAAGAAGAATCAAGAGACTGGAAAGGCGGCTGAAACCAAGAAGAAAACAGACGACGATGTGATACGAGAAGCGTGAGTGATCACAGATACTCGGTTGAGAAGACCCACTAAAGGAAGCAGGCCTCAAGTATCGTCTTCCCTGTTCTTCCAGTACAATACCGCCCTTGTGCCGCCTTACAATGTCCTCGTCGATACGAACTTCCTCTCGCACACTGTCCAGAAGAAACTCGAATTATTGTCGACGATGATGGACTGCCTCTACGCAAAGTGCATACCAATCATCACAGATTGCGTGATGGCCGAACTCGAAAAGCTTGGACAGAAGTATAGGATCGCCTTGCGGATAGCGAGGGACGAAAGATGGGAGCGACTTAAATGCGGCCATAAAGGCACATACGCCGACGACTGCATCGTTGACAGAGTCATGAGGCACAAGATCTACATCGTGGCTACCAATGATAGAGATCTGAAGAGGCGCATTCGGAAGGTGCCTGGAGTCCCTATCATGAGTGTTGCCCGAGGAAAATATGTCATTGAGAGACTTCCAGGTAAGTTGAGCCATGAGAACAAACCCATCTGTGCACCAGATACCTCTACGAAACCCGTGTCGGCGGCTGACCAGATTTCCAAAAGATGCCCCCGAGAAGTGAAATTCACAAACAACTTTTCCAATCCCTCGAAACAATCCAACATTCCCTACGAGATAATGCCGAGATCTCGAGTCGCCTTTTCCAAGCGCTGCAAATATTCATACCCTATATCTCCACCCTTTCCACACGGACTCCAATGTCCAAGCAAGCAGAGCTAGGGTGACTGCGCTGAATATGAACATGGCAGCGATCACCTTGCTTCGCATCTGAAAGGCGTCGTCCATCTCTCGTTTGGCCAATTTGCGCTGATGGGAATGATAATATCCATCGCGACTGCCGGATCGGGCGAAGATGCTGCCGTACGTTTGGCGATCGATGAGAAACAGCGATATCAGAAAGGATATGAACAGCACCGGTGCCACAATCAAGCGGCTGAGAAGGGATTCGGCGACAGGTGCTGGATCGTGGAGCAGCGGACCACTTTTCTTTGCCGACATGGCCAGAGAACCCGTAGCTTCAGACTTGATCTGGGTGATTATCATAGAAGCGCTGAGGCGCTGTGCCTGAATTTCACATAGGGCGTGCTTGGGGATTGAGCAATTCCCAGACCCCGAAACTGGGGATCCTGTGATAGAAATGTGTCGTGTTGGCGGGGGGAACAAGGGTGGCAGTGGCTGGATGAAGCCGGAAGTGGTCGCTTAGTAACGTCGAGAGCGTGATGTCATTCGATGCTTGACTTTATTGTGCACTGGAAGAGAAAGTCATCAAGTTCGAATTGATTGGGCGATCACTACGTTTACTTGGGCGAGGTTTCGGAAAGCAACCTCCCATTTCCTCTATACTGGCTAGGGTGAGGTTGTGAAGAGCGACATTTCATAGCTGCAGCCTAGCCTGTTGGCGAGAATGCCCGGAAGCAGCAAACAGATGACGATTCCGTAAAGAATACCTACTCTATGTGTGCATGTCATCCAGTCAGCATGCCTGAACGAAATCGACTTTGTCGAGATTGCCCTGGCCAAAGAGTTCATTCTCTAGAATCGTCATTTGATATTCTATTGGCATTGCTCTTGCCTGTTCAGTCGGTATTCGTGAGCCTCGTCGCCTGCGCACGATGCCTGCATAATGAGGCTTCCGCTCCTTGATTTTATGGGTGCCATCCTCGTAACCGTGTCCTGTCTTGAACCATTCCTCTATGTACTTGCGCCGTTGAATTGCTCTTGCTGTTACCCCCTTGTCAACCCGTCCGGGAGTTCGCAATGTCCAAGACCAAAATATCCGTCGCACCCACCCCTGTCAACTCATCCATAACTGTCGCAATACGCTGCTTTTCAACCATGGCACTCACGGCCACCCAGTCCGGTTCCTCCAACGCCGTTATCGTAGGAGCCCGCTTGCCTGGGGTAATCTTGGTGGCTTCCGCCAATTTGGCACGTGGCACATTATACTGACACAAGATGTATTTCTGTGCTGTAATAACCCCTCGTATCCGAGCGGCGATCTTGTTGACAAGTTCTTCGTTCGAGACGGATTTCGACTTGATCAAGACGGCCGTGCTCTCGACCACCGTCTCGATGGCTTTGAGGCCTGCTGCTCGCATCGTCTCCCCGGACTCGACCAGGTCGACGATTCCGTCTGCCACGCCCAGGGCGCAAGCTGCTTCCACACTGCCGCCCACGAATTTGATCTTCGTCTTCAGCTTTGGGATCGGGCTAGCTGTGCCATTTATGCTCTCCTTTCGGCCGCCCATACCTTCTAAGCGTGCAAAGTAGTCTTCGGCAAGACCTGTAAAACTCGTCACGATGTTCTTGCCGACTAGGTCCTTGACATCCTGGATGGGACCTTTCTCGGGTACCTGGACTTGCAGTCTACACCTGCCAAATCCCAGGTCCATGATTTCCTCCACTCCGGATTCCTCACCTAGCGTAAGATGGGCATCATGCTCTGCAACTTGATCCCGTCCCGTGATTCCAAGGTCGACTCGTCCTTCGCCCACGAACGTGGGAATGTCCGCGGCGGGTAGGAAAATAAGTGCTAACGGATGATTCTTCACCAGGGCGATGTCGAGCCTGGTTTCTCGGCGAAATTGAATGTCCGATCCAGCCAGGAGATCGAGAGTCGCGGCCTGCAGACGTCCTTTTTTGGGCACCGCGAAGAGGAGCCGGTCCGAGAGGTGGTTGACGAGGTCCATGGCAGTGTGGGCGACGTTTACCGGTTGTTGCTCTTTTGTTTTGCTTTAGATGCCCAACAGTCCTTTTCAAATGAACTCTTCAACTTTTCTACCTTGCGAGACAAGAGGAACAACTGAAGCTCTAAGAGATCTAGTGTGAAGGGCAATGGTAGGACAGCAGAGTGCCTCTTGAGTGTCAAATCCGATCAACTTACCTCCAACATTTCGGCTTCTCCATAGCTGTAAGAACGGATTGAGTCAAACCATCTCGTCGGAAAAAGTTTAGGCCGGCGTTTAGCCGGTGGTATTCTTGGCGAGTTTGCGCCCACATTGCACCCAACTGCGTTTGACATCTTTTTGGCGCCGCTCAATTTCCAACCTGCAGGACATCAATTGTGAGCCACCGCGAATCTACACCTCCAAACCTCTTCTCTCCGTCCCAGTCGATACTATCGCCTAGTTCAAGATGGATGCGGCCGGCAAAGTCCCCGTCAAACTCGTCAAAGTCACCCGAGTCCTCGGCCGAACAGGTACGTCAAATTGTCGACCTCTGAATATTGCTGTAGCTGCCGCTGGTCGTCTTTACTCACTCTTTGTGCGTTCCAGGCTCCCGAGGTGGTGTCACGCAAGTGAGAGTCGAATTTATGGACGACACGAGCCGAAGTATCATCCGAAACGTCAAGGGACCAGGTACGTGAGACTGAGCGGAAGAATATTGCATGCGCAACATGTATCTGTGGGCAGAACTCACTAACAACTCTGCATTGGCATACAGTGAAAGTCGACGATATCCTGTGCCTGCTCGAGTCTGAAAGAGAAGCAAGAAGATTGAGATGATTGCTTGCGGCGGAAGGGAGATGTGAAGTGCTCAAGGTTATGGGGATGGAAATGATGAATTCGACGAGTGTGGGAAACAACGACAATGCCTCGAAGGACGCGACTACCTACTGTCTCGTGGCAATGGGAGATTCCAGTATTACTGGCGCTGGGAACAAAGGCCCTCGGTCGAGCGACGGAGGGGGCTGGAAAGGGTCTTCAGTAAAAATGCATTTGGCATGATCGCTGATTAAAAGTGCTCAAGAACCATTTAAAACAATCGGGACTCCTTTCTCGGACTTCTCTGTCGAAACCATCGCTTCGAGGCGTGCAATTTGGTTGCAGAACTGGTGTGTGCAGCGGCGTTGGCTACTCGATACCCCCAAAACTCCATCTGGTGACCTCGTTGTAATCTTGCGAGCCTGTGACATAGTTTTATGCGGGAGCCCAGTTCCAGAACCATTTTAGTCCATTACATCCTCTGACGGAGATATCACCTCTGTTTTGTAAGGCTCGTGCGACTCATGGTCGACGAACCAAATCCGGCCTTGGCAACCTCGCCGCCTTAGTAAGAAGGTCAAGGCTTCACCTGTCGACGTGGCGAGAACCTAGAGATTGACAGAACCAGGGAGTGTTGTCTTCCGGAAGCCTCGATGACGAGCGTGCTGTTGCCTCGCTGTGGGAATTAGACTGGTTTTGAGATTCGGCCGTTCTTGTCTTGAGTGAGCAAGGAAGGTGCAGCTATATCAACTCACTTCTTGTTTTCATCCCAACCACCTATGAATTCATCGAATCATTGCTCCTTCCAATAGGCAGTGACATTTTGTCAGACAATGCAAAGGGTATCCTAGTCCAAGTCTCCGGAAGTACGACGACCATGGCAACCCAACAGCCCGCTCCTGACGCGGAGCGGGAATACAAACTGATCTCCCAACTCGAGATGCGCATTGCCTCCGCCTCGACAGACGAGAAACTGGAGACCATTCTTCAGAAGTTCCTCCCAGCTCTCCTACTAAAGCTGGCTTCTCCAACCCCTCAGAACCGCAACCTTGCGATTAAGGTATGCCAGTATATCAACCAGCGGCTGAAGATCAACCCCTCAATCAAACTCCCCGTGGCAGCGTTGGTCAAGACCTTTCGCGAGAATGACAACGCCTTCGTCAAGCGATTCTGTCTAGTGTTCATCGAGCAAGGGCTTCCACGGTTGGAGCTTGACCAGGGAGTCGAAATTCTGCCTGGTGTGTTGCAGTTTGCCATACCCGGAAGTGAAACGTTTGATGCCACGGATCGGAAAATGTGGGCTATCGCCTTCGACTTTCTCCTGGAAGTCTTGAGGAAGTGGAAGATTCCGGAGCGAGGTAGCAAGGAAGATTTGGCTCTCTCAGGGACATTCTCACTCTCAGCTACGCAGACAGATCTGCTTGTCAGCCGTCTCGGCGATTTTTTGCTCTACGATCCCAAGGACTCCGTCGCTCGAGCTCGGGACGAAGATTTCCAGCCTGTAATCGAGAAGAACTTCAGACGCCGCTCAGAAGTTGTCTTACCAATCGCAAAATTTCTGTTCTCCTCCATCTTCAACGATCGGCAACGGTTCATCCCCGCCACCATCATGTCTGTTGACCCAAATGCCTCGGCTGCAAATATGAGCGACATTATGTTCAAGCAATGTGATTTCGACTTGGAGTCTGAGTCAACAGTCGACTTGCTCTTCAGCCTCTACAGACGGTCCAAGCCCAAGCTACAGACACGGATCCTCGGACTATTGTCTCGCAGCCAGAACTCCACCAAACGTACCACAGAAATCATGGACATTGTGGAAAAGCAACTCACCCAAGCACCTAACGCTGGTCTCGAGGCGGCAAAGCTCCGAGCAGCTCTATTCTCCTACCTCACCTGGACTGTGCGTGTTGGCGGTCAACATCTCGCCGGAGAAATCAGTCACCGCATTCAGGGCCTGTTGAAAGAATATATCGAGATGCAAGGCTGGCCGACCATGAACAGCGACTACGCCTCAACTGCATCAGAGGTGGAGCTTCGGTCCAAGGCGTACGAGAGCATAGGCCTACTGGCAGGAATCAAAGCCGAGCACACAGACAACAATCGCACAGTGGACCTCATCACATGGCTCTTCACAAGTCTCCGTTGTGACACGACACGCGAGATAAGAAGTAGCATCGAAGAATCGATCGGCCGCATCATGAATGCTCTACCTAGCGTTGGCGACGATTCAATCGCGAGGCGCCTCAAAGACCTCTTCCTGTGGAACGTCCTGGCAGTACCAGGCAAAGAAGACCCCGTCTACTTCTTTCCCACGGTCAATAGCACCACCTACCCGGCGGTACGATTTGCGAACAAGTGCCTACCATTCAATGACGTGGATGCCCGTTTTATCGACGTCCTAGCCCTCGCCTCGGCGAGCGGTCGGAGAGAAGTGGCCGAGGAAGGAGCTCGCGGGTTAGATCCTTATTGGCATGCTTCGAATTTGCGCCTCACCACCAGTTCTGACAATCGACGGCTGGAACTCCCCAAGCTTGATGCCTTAGTGGAGAGGTTTTTTAAGTCGGCCACGACGCAGAGGAGCTACTATGCCGATGCAACAGTGGTAGTCGCTGCGGTGACATTTTGTCGGAACATCCTGCATTGTGAAGCCCTCCAGGAGACAGAACTAGTACCTGAAGAATCGACAGATTGGAAGCGGTCTATCGATGCCTTGGTCAACAATGACCAAGACGCCCGACAGCGGATTCGGTCGTATCTAAAAACCCTAAGCGGTGATATACTCTTACCATTGGTGCACGCAGCATTAGATGGTGCAACAAAGGGAGTTGGAGAATGCCTGGATTTGTCCCTGGAACTTTTGTCTCTTGCCCCGTCTGGGTTGTTGTCACATTTCAAAGATGCAGGGCTGGAAGCGGCTGCACATCTAGCAGGAAACGCAGGCCTGCAGCTTCGAGCCGCCCGGGTTTTTGGTATTCTAGCTTCTCTGGGCGAGGACGCCGAAGATGTCGCCAAAGCCGAATTAAACGAGGCCAAACGTTGGAGAACGGCCGTCGGAGAAGAATTGGTGAAGATCCAAGGCCATCTCCTCCGCGCATGTTTCTGCCTTACCAGGCGATCGCTGAGGCTGAAGCAGCAGCCATCTGACGACACACTACGGACCACGGTGCAGGCCGTCCTTGAGATTGTCAAGACTTCTTCTGACAGGTCGGTCAAAGATACTGCGTACAGGTCACTTCGTCAACTATTTCTGTGCGCCCCAACAGACGAAGGATGTGACGACGAAGAAATGTTGACTCAGTTGATCGCAGACAGCAAGAAAGAGAGCGAAACAGCAGTCTCAGCCGCAGGGCCTGTGCTAGGCATCTTACATGCCCGTGGTACCAGTTCCCTGCGTTTTGAATCGTTCCTCGATCGGTTGCTGGGCCTGCACGAAGTCAAACGAGCCGAGTTCCATTTCACTCTGGGAGAAACCCTAGCCGTTGCCTGTGCCGGATTCAGATCGCTGTCCACGCTCACAGAACTGGATGTCGACACCGATGTTTCGGGATTCGACGTCGATGGACAACTGCTAACAACAGTCCTCGACAAGGTCCTCGAGAATTGTAACACCACAAAGCCATCGCTAAGGAAGGCGGCTGCCATCTGGCTGTTGTGCATTGTACAGTACTGTGGCGAACTACCTGCTGTCATGGGGCGACTGCGAGAATGTCAAGCTGCATTTGCGAAGCTGCTGAACGATCGCGACGAAATCGTCCAAGAGACTGGCTCCAGGGGGCTCAGCCTTGTTTACGAACGTGGTGATAAAGAACTTCGAGATGACTTGGTTAGAGACCTAGTGCAAAGTTTTACGGGCAGCAATGCAAAAATGTCCGGAACCGTCAACGAAGAAACGCAGCTGTTCGAGCCTGGTGCGTTGCCGACCGAGAATGGACAGTCCGTCACGACTTACAAAGACATCGTCCGACTTGCTACGGAAATGGGAGACCCCAGCTTAGTGTATCGTTTCATGAACTTGGCCTCGAACAATGCTATCTGGTCGAGTCGAGCGGCGTTTGGAAGGTTTGGGCTCGGTCGTGTGCTGGCAGATTCCACGTACCTGACGGAGAACAAGAAATTCTATCCCAAGCTGTTCCGATACCGATTTGACCCCAACCCTAATGTCCAGCGGTCCATGAATGAAATCTGGCGAGCGCTCGTCAAAGATCCTAACGTCGTCATCACCGAGAACTTTGATCTGATCATGGAGGATCTTCTGCAGAGCGTTGTGTCAGGCAAAGAATGGCGGGCGCGTGAGGCCAGCTGCGCAGCCATTTCTGATCTCGTGCAGGGGCGCGATGTCGATATATTTGAAAAGTACCTGGACGAGATATGGAAGGTCGCTTTCAGAGTCCTCGACGATGTCAAAGAGACGGTTCGATTGGCGGCCATGAAGCTGTGCAGAACACTTACAAGTATGCTGATACGGAACCTAGAGATTGGGGAGGGGAATTCGAAGCGCTCTGCAACCATGCTCAACCACGCCATGCCGTTTTTGCTGCAACAAATGGACAGCGGGGCGGCCAAGGAGGTGCAACAGTATGCTATTGTGACGCTGCTGGAGGTGGTGAAGAAATGTCCTCCGAAATCTCTGCGGCCTTTTGCACCGACAATTTTGGAGACTCTTGTTCTCTCTCTGAGCTCTCTTGAACACGAGAGCATCAACTATTTGCATTTGAATGCCGACAAGTACGGGCTGACGGCTGAGAAACTAGACAACATGAGGGTATCGAGTATCAACGCATCTCCGGTCACAGAAGCAATCGAGGAGTGTCTGGAGAGTGTCACCATGACACCTGAATCCAACGAAGACCCCGATACCATGCAAGGAGTTGTAGCCAGTTCGTCAAGTCAGGGCCATTCTGCTGTAATGGACGACGCCATGCAACGGCTTGCACAGGCGTATCGAGCAGCGATCGGACTGCCATCCAAAGTTGGTCTCAGCAAAGTCATGACCACACTAGTCGTCCGCCATCCCACCGCTT